AAGCGAAATTTGGGAATGCAAGATTGGCATTCTGACTGTTCATGGCTGCATCCAAGGCTCATTGGGCACAGCCGCGGCGGCATAAGGGCGGCAGAAGAAGGGTGGATCCTTGGCAAGTGGCTTACCGCGCAAAGCCACGCAAGGGTGTGGTGATGTGTGTGTGGACCATGCCAAAGCTGTTAAAGGCAATCATAGACTGGACCTTCACTTGATTGCACTGCGCCTTGTTGCGCAGCGCAGGGTAAGGCAGTGTGTTGAGGGGGTGCTTGAACATTTCAGCTCTCATTGGTGATGCTGGCGCAGGAAGTCAGCAGGGGAAGGGTGAAGTGGCAGAATTGCACATTGCGAATGTCCTACTTTCCTGCGACTCTTAAAAGCTATGGGCCGGGTAATGCTGGCAAGCTTCCCTACACTGAGGCTAGAAATAACATCACGGTGTGTGCTTCAGACTTAAGAAAATGGTGGAAGTCAAAGTTCCTGAGGGGCGGAAGTTTGAGCAGCATGGCTGCATTGAAATGTTAAACTTGAAGTGGCCCTCAGGCCAATCATCTGCAACAGTTGACATCATGGTTTAAGGCCATGATCTTGCCCATGGAAGTGCGCCCGTCAAAAGCAAGGCTACATTTGAGCGCTGAGTGATGCATGTGGGAGTGAGGAGGGGGTGATTGCGCAACGGGGCGCTACACTTGGAAGGGGGGGGCAACCATGAACTTGCTCAGCACCGCCCCGCCTGGATGTACATACTGCTAGGTCTTGTTTGCAGGCTGGCAGGCCTGGAGGGGCACTTGACTGGGAGGAGCCACTTGTCATTGTTCAGTGGCACTAGCAGCACTTGTTCAGTGAATTTGAGAATGAAGTTGCAAACTGCAGGCCTGCAGGCCTGCGCCCTCTCAAATCTTGCCCATGAGACCCTTCAGGAACATGGAAGCAACGCACTAGGAGGCAATTCTGGGGAGGACTTGAACAGTCACACTGGGGCCACTTGTTCAGTGGCAATTAGCAGCACTTGTTCAGTGCTGCCCCGCCTGGTTGGTTGGGCCTTGAGAATGAAGTGATTGTACTGAGTCTGGCAACCTGCAGGCCTGCAGGCCTGCGCCCCATGGGAATCTGGGGGGGGGGGAAAGGCAAACAGCGTAGAGGGCAGTTTAACAGTGACATGCTGAACTGATACTTGTCAGTGGCATTAGCAGCACTTGTTCAGTCCTGCCCCGCCTGGTTGAAAATGAAGTGGATGCACAAACTGCAGGCATGCCGGCCAACCCTGTCAACCCTGGCCCTGCCTGGACATGGAAGCTTTTCTGGGGAGGGGGCACTTGAAAAGTCACTGATTCAGTGCAGGGAGGGGCCACTTGTTCAGTGGCATTAGCAGAACTTGTTCAGTGCTGCCCCGCCTTGATGTTTGGGCCTTCAGAATGAAGTGGATGTACTGCAAACTGCAGGCCTGCAGGCCTGCGCGTTGTCAAATCTTGCCCAAGGGGCGCTTCAAGAACATGGGAGCAACGCACTAGGGGGAATTCAACATGAACAGCGCCATGCTGCACTGATTCAGTGCAAAATTCAGTGCAGGGAGGGGCCACTTGTCGTTCAGTGGAATTAAAACTGTTCAGTGCTGCCTGCCCCGCCTGGTTGGTTGGGCCTTGACTGAAGTGGCAAACTGCAGGCCTGCAGGCCTGCACCCTGTCAAATCCTGCCCCTGGATCTTGGGGGGGCAAACAGTGTGAAACCAGATGGCGGTAGCAACACAGGGGGGAGGGGGCATGGCTGCAGCGTTTAGTGCACGAAGGGGCCACTTGTTCAGTGGCATTAGCAGCACTTGTGCAGTGCTGCCCGTCTGGTTGAAAATGAAGTGGATGCACAAACTGCAGGCACGCCGGCCTGAACCCTGTTAAACCCTGCCCTGCCTGTGGGATCCTTCAAGGAGGGGGCACTTGAAAAGTGCGTGCAGGGAGGGGCCACTTGTTCAGTGGAATTAGCAGCACTTGTTCAGTGCTGCCCCACCCCAGAGGGCGGTAGCAACAGTTTAGCAGTGACATGGTGCATTGATTTAGCGCAGGAAGGGGCCACTATTGTTCAGTGGCATTTGCAGCACTTGTTCAGCCCTGCCCCGCCTGGTTGAAAAAATGAAGTGGATGTACAAACTGCAGGCATGCAGGCCATTCTGAGTCAACCCCTGCCCTGCCTGTGGGATCCTGCAAGGACATGGGAGCTTTTCTGGGGATGGGGGCACTTGAGTAGCGCCTGCATTGATTCAGCGCAGGGAGGGACCACTTGTTCAGTGGCATTGGCAGCACTTGTTCAGTGCTGCCTGCCCCGCCTGGTTGGTTGGGCCTTGAGACTGAAGTGACAGTGGATGTACTGAGGCAAACTGCAGGCCTGCAGGCCTGTGCCCTGTCAAATCCTGCCCATGGGAATCTGGGGCGGGCAAACAGCATGAAACCAGAGGGTGGTAGTACCACAAAAAGGGGGCACTTGAACAGTGCCACGCTGATTCAGTGCATCAAGGGGCCACTTGTTCAGTGGCAATTAGCAGCACTTGTCCAGTGCTGCCCCACCTGGTTGGTTGGATGTTGAGAACGGGTCTTGAGAATGAAGTGGATGTACTGGCAAAATGCAGGCCTGCGTCCTTTCAAAGCCTGCCCATGGAATCAAAAAGTAAAGGCAAACAGCATGAGAGCAACATAGCGAGGGGGCAGTTGCAGAGAGCCACACTGCACTGATTCAGTGCAGTGAGGGGCCACTTGTTCAGTGGCATTAGCAGCACTTGTTCAGTGCTGCCCAGCCTTGATGTTTGGGCCTGCAGCTTTGAGTTGACGCAGGCCTGCAGGCCTGCACCCTTTCAGATCCAATCTGAAAGGCAAAAAAACAGAGCAACAAAGAAGGATGGCTGAACTTGCCACACTGCACTGGTTCTGTGCAGGGAGGGGCCACTTGTTCAGTGGCACTAGCAGCACTTGTTCAGTGCTGCCCTGCCTTGATGTTTGGGCCTGCAGCTTTGAGTTGATGCAGGCCTGCAGGCCTGCACCCTTTCAGACCCTGCCCATGGGAATCTGAAAGGCAAAAAACAGAGCAACAAAGGGAGAAGGCTGACTTGCCACACTGCACTACACTTCTGTGCAGGGATGGGCCACTTGTTCAGTGGCACTAGCAGCACTTGCTCAGTGCTGCCCCACCTTGATGTTTGGGCCTGCAGCTTTGAGTTGATGCAGGCCTGCAGGCCTGCACCCTTTCAGATCCTGCCCATGGAAAATCATGGAAATCTGAAAGGCAAAAAACACCGAGCCACAGAGGGGGAAGGCTGAACTTGCCACACTGCACTGGTTCTGTGCAGGGAGGGGCCACTTGTTCAGTGGCACTAGCAGCACTTGTTCAGTGCTGCCCCGCCTTGATGTTTGGGCCTGCAGCTTTGAGTTGATGCAGGCCTGCAGGCCTGTACCCTTTCAGGTCCTGCCCATGGAAAATCATGGAAATCTGAAAGGCATAAAAAAAACAGAGCAACAGAGGGGGAAGGCTGAACTTGCCACACTGCACTGGTTCTGTGCAGGGAGGGGCCACTTGTTCAGTGGCACTAGCAGCACTTGTTCAGTGCTGCCCCGCCTTCATGTTTGGGCCTTCAGCATGGAGTCGGTGTAGATGATGCTAGCAGGTACCCTCACCCAGATTGCCCGCACATTTGCTACCCATGCCATATCCACAGCACATCCACACCAGCATTTTTTTGTATTTAAGATTGCTGCTCTGTGTATTTAAGTTAGCTTTTGGACACTTTGGGGGTTGTTCTGTGCAAAAGATGGTTCGCTCTAGTTCGACAGTTTTTTCTTCTCCGTTTTGAGGGTATTTTTGAGGATGTCGTATTGATGGAGCCAGTTGAAGGGTACATTTGGCGTGTGTGTGTGTGTGTGTGTTTTGGGTTCCCCCTTCTGGAGTTGGTTTAAAGGTAAACCAAAAAGCTCCCCCCCCTTTTTTTATTGGGGGGGAGTTGCCCTCATTTGACCCAAACCCATTTGGGCCAGTGCAAAATAATCTACCCCTCCACGAGTTCGAGCTCGCGCCTTCGCCGTGGTGAACTAGAACCAATAGGTACGTCACACCCAACTTGGGCGGTTTCCTTTTGGTTCCCCTGAAACCAACCCTTTTTGGTACCCTAAAAAGCAGATCCCCATATAACTTAGACATGTCGATGCGGTGCCACAACAAGCGAGCAATCTGGACCAACCGCTACAAGAGAAGACAGACCAGCCAGCACAAACTGGTCCAAACCCATCGTCGTCCGCGAGCGCATAGCGGACCTTGCCGATTTTTTAATGCAGATTCCGTTCTTGGGGAACCCTTAGGTGAATTGAGATGCAACGGCTGCCCCCCCCAAAAAAAACGAGCGGATATGCCGTAATTTACCCAGGTTTTGTGGTTGAGAAGGGTTTCTGTACTTACAATCTTTCTGGTATCTACCGTTCGAACATCATTGTTCTCCGCCTTCAATTCATTTTTTTCTGGACTTGTTAACGTCTTGGGAACATCATTTTAGTAGGACATGAACAGTCCAGACTTTCTCTGAGCAGCTCGGGAAATCAGGACATGAACAGTCAGGAAGCGAATCAGGCTCGGTGAATTATTTGTAGCTTATTCCTGAACCCACCCTCAACCACCCTCAAAAAATCATCCTCCGACCCCCCAAAAAAAATCAAATCATGGATGATACGTACCTCACAAGTACCTCATAAGTACCTCAGTACCTCATAAGCACCTGATGAGCATCTGATAAGCACCTGATGAGCACCTCACAAGTACCTCATAAGCACCTGAAAAGTACCGCATACGTACCTCACAAGTACCACACAAGTACCTCATAAGTACCTCAGTACTTGATAAGCACCTGATGAGCATCTGATAAGCACCTCACAAGGCCCACCCTGCACCCTAGGCCCACCCTAGGCCCACCCTAGGCCCACCCTAGGCCCGCCCTAGCCAAACCCACCCACAAGTTGACCAAAACTCGAGCACAGGTGAAGCAGTTGATGGAGCCGCTGGCGGAAGCCGGGCGCGTGCAGGTGGCGGGTGGAGGCCCAGCCCAAGCAAGGCAAAGGCCAGTGAATTCTGTCCCTATTTTTTTGGAAAGCGCTTTTTGTTTTCATGGTTTCAAAGGGAAACCAAGAGGACGCCACCGCCCGTTTTTTGGTGGGCCCAACTCATCCCTTGTTGCCCGGCCCCTTTTCAAGTCTCGGGGTTCACGGAAAGTCTACAACCTTGAGCACTTCTTGTTTGCTCAAAAATATTGGGATGTGTTTCCACAGTTTTTGGAGGGTAGTTTGTGGGTCCAAGCAGAATTCCAATTTTGTACGGGTGGTTTAGACGTTCAGTTAATGCTGAGCCCATATTAATCAACCCGAGTCCCCCCTATTAATAAACAGGGGTTGATTTATATGGGTGTTTCTCCAAGTTGGTACAATTCCAGGTAGCCTTTGAAACCATCCAAAAAAGGGTCCCCTATTCTGCGAAAGCCCCATGTGGGACCAACCCTGGGCTGCCAGGCGACGCCGAGGCATCCCCGGACGGCGCCAAAGAGTTGTCCCGAGCCGCTCGCTCGGAGTGCCGCGGAAGTTGCTCCTTGCCCCCCACCCAGCTATCCTAAAAATGTGGATGTTGCACCGTGATTTCCCACTTTTTGAGGGCACCTAAGTCCCCTTTCTCAAGAAAACCCTCTTTGGCTAGCCTTTTCGTTGGTTTGTCTCGAAATGCACTCCCCATACCAGCAGTTTACCTTCTTTTGATTTGGTTTTAAAGGCAAACCAAGAGGACACCAGCCATGATTCTGTGGCAAACAGCACCGCCCTGCAAACACAATGGACCGATACTGATACGCAGAAGATTGCAACATGGACCTCAAGCTTGTGACCCCAAGCCACTCACTTGATGCGCGAAATGAGACCAAATTTCTGAAACCCGGATCCTTAGGTCGCCCCCTCCGACCCTATGTCCTCTTGAGGAACGGGTTCCATGTTCATCTTGACCGATTAAGCAACCTTGGTTGATTCGTATGGGGGAGCCTTCACTTTTTGGGACGAACACCCCCTCAATGTGTTTTTCCACAAGTATTTTTTCCACGAGGTTGAATCAACCTGGGGTAAACGTTGATTTGGAGAGTGAGAGTAAAATACCCCAAACGAGCTGGTTGCAAAGAAGGACTACGTCCCCCGCAACAAACGGAAGCTGGTTGCAAAAACACACCCAACGTGTCCATCATACCCTCCAAGCCCACCTCCCCATTCTTCCCTTGTGACCATGACTAGCTATGGCTCCCCCCACACCCCCATTCTGACATTTTTTTCCTCGCCTAAGGAAGCAACCCCCTTAAAATCCGAACCCATTCAAAGGGTCCGGTCCTTCAGTCAACCCCCTCCCCCCAGACCCAAGGGACCCAGCCTAGGCCGGGGTTTTGGTGCTGACACCCTGGCAGCTCCAGCTGCAGAGCTGGGCCCTGGGCAACGAGGACCTCACGGCGCTGAATCAGGACAGGGGCACCTCCACCCAGCCCACCCCCAGCCCCAGCCCCCCACCCACCCACTCCTCTTTGCTGAGGGTATGAAACTGGTAAGCCCAAAGGAAGCCAATTTGGCTTTGGGAAGCCCAAAAGAGCCTTTCTTCCCCCCCCCCACCCACTTTAGCCATCCGGACATGGGCGTGCAATTGGCTGTTGGAAGACAAACCGTTATCTAACCCGGCGATTTCCAGCCAACCAGGGAGGTCACATCGAAAGTGTGGCTTGCTTCACGTTGGGTGCAACACATCAGATAGAGCAGTCTTCTTTGCGATGGCTTTGCACATATCCGTCAAGTCCGATTTGGGTGAGTTGTTTTTTTTGGAACTCCTTTTGGTTGATTTAAGAGGGGGGGTTCCTCCTTTTTGAGACAACACGTCTCACCTTTCAGCCCTTTTCGGCTCGTCGGTTCGGGCTCCCGGCTCCGTTGCGGCCATGTTGGCCGCGCCGCGGCTCTCGTGGGTGGCGCTGCCGCTGCCGCTGCCGAGCGCGGCGCCCCTTCGCCGGGCGCGCCTGGCGGGGAGAGCAGATCCCGGGCGGCCGGTGGGCGCAGCAGCGGGGGGCCTCAGCGGAAAACGGTGGTTTTCCTCAGGCTGGGGTTCTTGGTGAGTGCCGTTTTTTTTCTTCTTCTTTTTTTCTTTTTTTCCCCCGTTTTGGGAGCCTAGGGACTTCCCTTGTACCCTAGGAACCATGCTCATACTCATATGGGTCTGTGTTTCATGGATTAAAGGGAAGCCGAAGAGACGCCACAAATTTGGGCGTCTAAATCCTTATTCTCACACCTTCAAAAGGGTGTTTCTCAAAATAGGGCTCCCCTTCTTGAAATTAAGGGGGGTCCGCTATTTTGCGAATGCCCTCATATGAGTTTCACACATCCCGCCGGCTGTCGCTGTCGCAGTTTGCAGTGCAGTTTAGGTGGGCTTGGCGGCGTCTTTGCTGGCGGCGAGGCGCTTCCGCACAGCGAGGAGCGCGAAGCCGTCCTGGCAGCAGAGCATGCTGCGCATCAAGGAGAGGTGGCGTGGGGGAGGGGGGGGGGTGCAGACTATTCAGGGTTCGATTCCTATATTCTATGGGACATCTTTCACTTGAATGTGGGAAAGCGAGAACCGACCCTGGTCGATTCCGGGGATGACACTAGGGTGTTCTTTTTAGACTGCCTTGGAAAAATGTATTGCTCGCAAAGCCATGCTTTTGAGGTGGGCAATACAGTGTTGGTTCCACATGGGGGATCCCCAAAATGGCCATACCATAGAGGGGCTCGAACAGTATTTGTCGTTTCGGGGTTTCATTTTAAACTATCGGAAATGAGGGCACCCCAGTTTTAGGAGCCGATCAACTTCATGGTTGGGACAAACAGAGTTGTCGGTTGCCGCTCTCCGTGATACTGTTGGGGAACTCCCTTGAAAGTGACGAAATGGGGATGCATCAGCCGCTTTGGTGTCGCGAAAATCTCTTTTCCACCGTGCCGCAACTGGGCTTGCAGGTCTTGAGGGGGTTAGTCAACATGCAGTTTGGGCAAACGCGTGGTGGTTGCAAACTTGGAGGCTTGGTTTATGTTCACTGCCGGCAGGAGGACGGGCATAATTGTGCGGAGTTTGCAACGAAAGCAACTTGTGTCATCCCATGAAGCCCGGCACGGACTTTGCGAAGCTGGCTTGGATTTACGGCCCGACACTTGAAAACAACACATCTCATGAGGTGTCGCTCCGGACGGTCTCTGGCCCTTCGAGGACCCAGAGAAGTCCTTGGACTTTTACAGGGACAAGATGGGCATGAAGCCGCTTGCTTGGATCTGTCAAGACTTGAATGAGTCGGAATGCTTGTAAGGAGTTGCTTCCAGCTTAAAAGTCGTTTCGTGTGGCATGGCAGAATGTGGGTTTTAACATCATTTTTCCCAACGCCATACTAAACGCCTGCGAATTAACATAGCTCATTCTTATAGGAACTTTTTTTTGGGAGCCGTTCTTGTGGTTCCATGATGTAGTGGATTCTCTAACATTGCCTGTTTCAGCAAGGTTTCTCTACCAAGCAAAAGGAGGGTTTTCCTAAAATCCCCCCCCTTCGGCAGGTTTCATTTTGGGAGAGAAGGTATGTACAGGGTTTATTCAAGCCCTAAAAGATGACTAAGCCACAAGGGTTGAGAGCTTGCATTGGGCACTCTTGCTTTCCACCAGAACACGCCACCCCGCCAAACACGCTCCCTTGACTGAAATAGACCACTAGAGAAAACCTTTGGCACTTATCGCGCCCCTTACATTGTCCAAGGCTGGACAAGCCAATGAACATGGAACCTCATCAACCCTCATTCTGAGAGGAACCATTTTTGTTGGGGGTGACCCTCTTGCAGTTCCATGCGAACATTTGGCGTGTAGGCTGGACCAGCCTCACTGGGGGAACCTCCCTTATGGTCCTCCGGATTCGGAAGGTTTGCTCAGAATTGGCCTTGGGTGCGCCAAAGTTAAGTGAAGAGAATATGATGTATTCAGCCCCCCAAAGATAAGGCTTTCTGAAAAATTTGTGATGGGCCCTGAAAACTCCTGGGCCCTCAATCTTGAGCTTTTTAGTAAGGAGACACCCCTTTCGGGTTCCTTTCTGTAAACCCAAACATGGATGTATGTATGCTACGGATTCTGCAGGGAACCGCCTCAAAAGTGGCTGGTGGACATAACTCCCACCATGCTCACCAAAGGGTCCCAATTACAACTCATCTCCCCTTGACGTCCCAATAACCGGGTCTGACTCAATTCCTTCCCTCCTTTTGCTTTGGGGGAAAACACAAATAGGCTGGTTGACCAATTGGCCGCGCCTTTTTTGTTGGCGCCGAAAGAAAGAGGCTGCCTTGACGTCCTCAAAGACGGGTCCCTGCCAATTCGCTCAAGTGTAGGCCGTCCCCCCCCTCTGCCCCCCCACCTTCCCCACCCCACCCCGGCCCCCCCCCCTTTTCTCCTCCCCGCGCCTTTTGGGGCCAAAAGATGAGGCTGTTGGACAAGTTGGACTTCGAGAAGATGGGCTTCTCCCTCTACTTCTTGGCCTCCACCTCCGACCAAACGCCGGAGCCGGGCACCGCGGAGGCGCACCGCTACCTCTGGAGCTTCCCCGGGACCACGCTGGACGCTCGACGACCTACCGACTTCGGCTTGGGACGACACACTGCCAGACGTTTTTTTTTTTTTTTGACAAAGGGCCTAAATAGCTACACCTGATTCTCTTTGGTTCCTGTCTGAAGTTCGAGCGATATTTCAGACAATTCAGCGAAAACAATCCATTTAGACCTCCAACAAACATGGTTTGCTCCACAGGAAGCATTTCCGGCAGGCAAGTAGTCTTCCTCAGGGCTGCACCAAACCATGGCCGCTACCATGAAGCCTGACTGGTCACTAGAAGACCATTTTCTTCAAGGGATCTGGTTTCAAATTGGTTGCTGGGAGGGGGTAACCCTTTGCCATGTTTGCTTGGTTTCCTGCATTTTTCCATTTACACTTAGCTTTTGGCAGAGGGTTTTTTTGTGAATCATAGCTCACGCAGACATTGACGGACTGGGAGCGGTTCTGGATGGGTCGTTCCAACCTGGAGCTGGGGGAGGGGATTTTGATCGACAGGTTTGTGGGTCGCTTTGGTGGGCTTCATGTACATTTTCAGGATCTGTTGTCCACCAGCCATTCTGGGCGTGAAGGTCGGCCCCTTTCACAGTGAAGGCTCTTTTACGGCCTGCGAAGTATCGCAATTCACAGAGATTGGGTTTTTGGTTCTGCTTATCGTTGGTTGATGACTGCAAAGAAGTGCCTGTTTGCTAACATGAGGCTTCACAACTTTCACCCGAGCAGTTGCACCCGCTGGGCGACGCTAAGGAGTTGACGCACAACTACGGCACAGAGAAAGAGGAGGGAGCGATCTACCACCCGGGGAATCAGCCAAGAGAAGGAAACAGGCACAGCTGCGTCGAGTAGAGTCAAGGGTGGTGGGTTTGAGAGTGAGTGATGCTCGTCCACCTTTTGCAACGGATCTTACGGATCTCTGAGGAATCCACGACCACGGAACCGTTCCGTCAGCTTGTGAGATATTCCGACAGGAGAGACGGCTTTGGCCACGTGGCCTTCTCGGTGAAGGACGTCTACGAGACCTGCGATGCGCTGGATGAGGCCGGGGTGGGGTTTCAGAGCCTCGGCGGCAGTTGGGCGCGTGTCTTTTTCGACTACTCGCCTCCTCCCACGTAAATCTTTGGCCCCAAAACCAAGAAGGCACAGAGTCAAAGCACTGCTTGAAGCTGGAAAAGCCGGATCCCTGGTTTCCTGCTTTTGTTTGGCTCACTTGGATGTGGCTCAATTAACGTTGCCAAAATGGCGCCTCGGTAGTTCAATGGAACCAAATCTCAAAGACTACAACCTGCGTAACCCTTGCAAGGTTCCTGGACTTGAGTTACTTTTTGGTAAGACCGTTTTAGTGGAAAAAATAGCTATCCACTCAGGAAGCGAGTTCCAATGACGGTCCTTTTGGTTTCCTCTAAACCAACCTAACACATGGTACCCTCCAAAAGACACAACCCCATGTGGGGGATGATTTTGAGATTTGAGATCAGGGGTCTCAAAAAGCCACCCCAAGTCGTGGATGGACAGACTCCCCAATGGTCTACATGAAAACTCATATCCCGTTGGGGGATGTCTTCTTTTGAAGCTCTGATTGGGGTTGGCCTGAGGAACCGCAGGCAATCTCTCGTAGGTGGTGAGCGCCTGTGGTTCGAAAGGGAAGCTCGAGAGATCTTTTGGGGGGTTCTCGTATTTTGAGCCAAACCCATATGGACACTCATCTGGGAAATATAAGGCCTGGCTAAGAGGTTTTCCCGAAAGAAAGCTTGCTGATACTTCGGCCTTATGTGGATCCAAAGGGTGTTTTGGGTGCTTTGGTCAACGGGCGGTTTCCCGAAACAGGGCTTGCCCCTGTGGTGGGTTGACCTGTCCTTCCCTTCCGCGGTAGGA